TCGCATAAAATAGATGGCGACTCTCTAAGAAAACCAGTGTATTTTTAACAGTTTTTTTCAGGCCAATGTTCAAGAAAGGAATTAAGTTTAACAAAATGCATATATGTAGGTAGCAACTCTCCTAAGAATAGTTTTGGAATAATATTTTTTTTTTAATAACTAAATACAATGTCACAATTTTTATACCACTTTCTTAAAATAATAGATAGAAGGATAGAATGGGTTTAAAAGGCAGAAGAGTTAGCGTTAAGCTAATAAGCGTTCATTCGTTTCATTAATTCCTTAGTTTGCCTTCTTTTCATGCTAATTGATAAACTCATCGGTCACAGAGTTTTTCCCTACATCACTATAACATTGCACGGCGTACGTATAAGGAACTGTACTATAGAGTTCTATTTTGCAAGTGTAAATACCCCACCAACGGCTCTCACGAGCTCCTCTCCAACCCCTACTGAAGGAGCTATTCAGACCAGTATCTATAATAAAGTGCAGCACGTTGCATTTGCTTCCCTATAAAAAAATTTTCGAACATACATACTTTGTATGAAAAAAATGCGTAGCACCGTCAACCAAAAAAAAAAACAATTGCCAAAAATTAACGATTGGACTAATCGCGCTACTTCAAACTGGTACTTTAATATACTAAAATTTAACAAATTTTTTGTAAAAAATGTTGTGGGGTAAACATCTCGAGAAACATATCCTACAAATGTGTGATGCTACTACAAGGGATGTAGGATGAAATGGTTTTAAGATCTTTTAGCTTTTGTGGAAAAAAATTTGCAAATTTATTTTTGTCCCGTATTCGGCTCCCATAAATATGGTCACCGTAGGTATAGGTTATGGCAATGGTAATGTAAATGGTAGTAATAAAAGTATTGGTCTATTTGTAGTGGCAACGGTAATGATATTGATGTGGGGTATGGTAATGATTAGGAATAGTAATGCTAATTGGAAAGAAAGTGCTAACGGGTACGGAAATGGCGACGGGTAGGGTCAAGTACTTTCAGGTGCGTGGACCCTATGTAGCCCAGGTTCGATCCCAGGTCCAAGCAACGGCAAGTCACAAGTAAGCTATCGATGTTAAATCAGTTTTGAAAAGAGTACTTGATAGAAAAGTTCACAAAATGTCGAGCAGATAGTTAGATAAATCAGAAATCGCAATTTTCCGAATGGCTAAAAAAGCTACTACAAATTAAACCCAGCAGCAGCTTAAAAACCCGTCTTTTCATACATAAAATTATACGAGTACTACAACAAATATGTATGGCGGGTTTCAGTTCATTATTCAATTCGGTTAGCTGAAAGTTTAATTAAGCCAGCAATTTTTCATAGCGCCACCAGTGACAATTAAGCGGAAGCAATATACGCGACAAAAGCACGTAAAAGAAATGTTAGTAGAGTGTAAAATTGCTGGGAGAAAACTTAAACTAAAACCAAAAAATATTTCACAAAACTTATTGCTAAAATTGTAAAGAAAATTGTTTACTCTGGCTGCATGTATTTTCATTAAAAATTATTTCCTCTACTCGTAAAAGTTTTTGCGCGTCAATTTCATACAAAGTATTTTTTATTAAAATAATTAATGTATCTAAATTTTTCATTTTGCAAAAATTCAAATTTCCTTTCACTTGCCTGCGTGCTACGGACAGCAGCAGCGAAAGAAACAGCAATAACCAAAAAAATGACAGCTGGCTGTATTGGTGGTGACGCTTGATGGATATGCTCGTGGGTGCCGGCGGCTAAACTGCAATTTATTTTTTGAGGTTTTTCTGGTGTGGATTTTTTTTAACCATTTCCAGTTTCACCAACGTTTTCTTTGATTAGATACATATTGTTGTTGGGGAAAATTGTAGGATAGGCTAAATTGCATTTGAACTTGGTGTAAAAATGTAATATTGCACGTGATGGCAACGCCAGGAAAATTGCTAAGTTATAGTAAATTATGATTATAACTTGCTTTTATGGTTCCTTAAAAAAAATAATGTATACTTTATTATAACAGCGTTATCAAGATTCAGCCGACTCTTCCAACTGGTGCGACTAGATTTCCGCCGTCCGTCTTAGGCCATGATGAGAACAAATGTCAAGATGTTGGGACTACAGTTGCATGACTTAGTCGGGCATAAATAATTTTATATATGTCACTGCCTTTCGTCCTCCGAAATTAATTCCAGCATTTGTTTCTTGAGTGTATGCCTGGTATCTATGATTTTGTGGCTTTTTTTTGGAACGACGAATTGTCTTTAATTCTTAAGAATGACAAAATGCAAGAAGACTCTATTTGGGTACGACAATGGGCCATGGTGGCCTGCGTGTGCCACCGTTCAATGAAGGATGAAGCCGGCATGATAAACTTATCCAACCTAATCGAACCTGCACATTTCCAAACAATTCCGCAAAACTTTGCGGTCCAAAGTCGGCTCTAGTCGACTCACAGAATTTCCATTTGGATATTTCTTGAGTATTTCTTAAGTAAACTGCTCTATAAGTCTTATGTGAAAAAGGACTGGGTGTAACTTCAAATGCCCAAAGTGGTGGGTCAAATAAGGACAACACTAAAGTGGACGAAGTGCACTTAAGTCGAAAAGGTGACACGACGAAATAGTCGACTTCGGCTCTGTGTCAATTGATAAAGATGTGCAGATAACTACGGGCGATGTGGAACGCTTGATTTCGTTCCGCCCGAAAAAGACTATAACTTCAACTATATATCTGGAACGTTGAAAGAAACGCTATAAGTTCTACTGCTCCGATAATGTCAGCGACTGGAAACTTAAAGGTTAGCTCTGCTATCCATTGGTATACCCACGATAGAGCTTGCTGCACCGATCGGCTGTTGGATGGTTCTGGAAAGTGGACCCTTTGAGAGAACATCAATTCGTACCAAGGCCACAATTCTCCAGAAAGGGGGCAGCACCATCCGACAAAAGGGACCTCGCAAATACTAATGGCACTAAATACTTGGATGGCATTTGCTAACGTTACGAAGGCGCCAGCAAGTCGAGCGACGCTCCAAAATGATCTAATCCCTCGAGCTACGGCAGTATAGGGTGCTTTGACGTGCGAACAGTGGGGCTTGGTAAGTTGACGCTTACTTTACAATACTGGACGGGCACGTCAACTAACTTAGTTAAGGCAACATAAGTGCCCAAACCAAGAGTCTAGGTATCATGCTTTCCGGAACCAGCCAGTATCGCTCTTGACGATTTCTTTGCCAATTGTAAGAATGTGGATTTTCGGTGAGGCTGTGGAAAAGTTTTCAATAGAGTTCAAACTAGCTCCGTGGTCAGCTGACTAGCCATTTTTCGCCTCGATCTTGGATAAGCCAGTTTGTATTCTTATCGTATTTGGTGACTACTACAGATAGATGTAGCTACAGTCTCTGAATTAGATCCAACAAGGCGGCCCAACCGATCACACAGCTTGGACAATGTTGATTGGTAATATATTTTTTTCTTTTTGATATTTTTTTCTATTTTAATCTTAATTGGACGCCGCTTTCTAGCCTTCTCCACCAGGAAGAAGTTCTGCATTTCACAAAATCAGCACTTAAAAACAAAACCGTTGAATTGCTACCTTTCCCACAGAGCAAAATGAAAATAAATAACAATTAACGCACAGCCAGCGATTTATTGAGCACCGCCGACACCAGACGCAAGCGCAGTCCATCCGGCAGCACAGGATTAGAACTGTAAAATTTACGCAACCGCCAATTACATTTTACAAATTTATTCCCAGCAAGGCCGGGCAGCAAGCGTCTAACGAAACTTCTAAATTAAGCTAACTGTGCTCGGCGGAACCGCCCGTTTCCGCTTTTGGCAGCGGTAAGTACTAGCACGATTAAAGAAGCCGGTTGAAGGCTACCACTTTGAAGACGGCACTTGACCAATTTGATTTCTGCCTGCGGTATCTGGTAACTCAAGAATAGAATTTAAGCTGCTTATGAGCACATAGTACAACAAGCTTAATGCTGATCTGAGCTACGACGACCAAGCACGTTTTGTATGTAAAAGTGGCAAACATTAATGATGCCGATGCTCAATGTTCTTGTTTTTGTTTTTTTTTCTCTTAGCTAGTCTTTGCGAAGATTTTCCGTTAAATGCTCTTGCGTAATAGCTGAGGTGAGTAATAGTTCAAGTTAAGTGTGTGCGTGTGTGTGTGTGAAGTCAATTCGATTTAAGTCAAGTAGTGAAGTGC